TTCTATCAGATTCTTTTATTCTACAATTTCGGGTGTTTCACTATGCCTGAATGCATAAATTATCTCGTCAAGTTAATTTCAATTATTAAAATTTTCTTATAATTATATTATTGGCCTTTTTATCGATATCCAATTAATTTATCCTCAACCTTGCGTTCTGATACCACTTTTGTCATGACTCGGTCTGACGCTTGGAATTAACCAAGGCGAGTATAAGCGGTCGGACAATGCGAATTAAATTTTATATATTCATCTACAATTTAACAGATGAAAGAGTCACTCCAAATTAAATTAAAATAATACAATTAAAATTATTTTTTTAATGTTTATCTGCGTCTTCTATAAACATTTTCTTGTTTATCGTTCATTTTTTAATAATTTATTTAAACTTGAAGTTAGTTAAAATAACTGTAAGCTTAAGAGCTAATAAATACTAATACTTCGAAATTAAAGTAATACAAGGAAAATAAAGAATAATATGCATTTCAGTTAAGTTTATTTATAAATCAATATAAATATTTAAGATATTACTTATAGGGGTCTATATCATTATCGTATCAATATCATTTCATATTTATACAACTGTCACAGGAAATCTTGTCAATTAAGATACATCAATATCAATTTATTTTTTCGTTTACGTGCACGTGTATATTAGTGTTTCTTCACTAGTATCATCAAAAGGTGCTTCATCATAACCAATCATGCACATATAAGCAGTCAACATAAACATATGTGTTCATCACATTCAATCATACTATATAAAATATACACTAAAATGCATGAATAAATAACTATAATATTCACAACGATATGACCAATCAAAGAAAAGAAAAACTCAATCAGAATAAAATATCCATAAATATCATCAAATGCAAACATATTTGAGAAGAAATAAATTATTACTATAGTTTAAAAGTACAAATACTCTCCTCAAAGACGAATAAATTATTCTTAATTCTGTCTTTGCTTCGACCCTTTTAAAATTTAAGCCAACAAAAAATATGGGTATAAAATTTAATAAATTTATTATTTTAATTTTTCATTATTTAAGTATTAAATTTTCATATTTATTTGTTGTATTCCTAATTATATATATATTATAAAATTTCTTATTAAATATCTTACCTTATAAATCCTCTTTTTTTAGACTTATACCGCACGGAGCTTTGTCTTCCTCCCTCTCTGCGAGAATCGAATCACAAGTGAGCATGCTTTCTCGCACGAGCCTTTCTTTCTTTTGAGCTTCCTCGTTTGCTTGACAACGCACAAGCCCTCCTTAACGACTTCTTCCTCTTCTCTTCTTCATTGTTAGGCTAGGGCACGAGTTCCTTGGCCACTCTCATCACTTCTCTTAGCACCAAACCGCTTAAAGATTGATAGAACTCCTTTGTCTTCCTCTTCGACTCGACTCAACCCGACCCTAACGCTACACTCGACGTCTCCCATGTCGCTCAACCCACCAGTAAGGGAATCTTGCCTTGGCCGATCCTTTTAAAGGAGAACTTGTCTCCTTGACTTCTGATCTCATCGTTTCCTCTCCTCCCTTTCATCTGGCCACGTCTCTTCGTTCCTTCTCCGGTTTCTTTCGAGTATTCTAATCGAACCCTTCTTCAGGTAGACAAAACGAGGCGTTACAGGAATAATCTTTCAAAATTTGTTTAGGATAGTACTGTATTATGTCCAAAAGTGTTGCGGCAGTGACTTTCCCATCAATCATCAGCTCATTCACGTAACTGGAATGTTGCAAAGTTCACCTTGCGGTTTTCAGGACATTTTATTTCTCGAATTGTCTTTTCTATATCATGAAGCCATGCATCATTCTCGATTGGGTCCACCGTGCCATTGAATGTTGGAGGATGTGTCTTCAGAAACTGGTCGATCACTCGATCCATAGTACTTTCATTGGCTATCGCCATTAATTGATTGGGTTGCATCTCCATGGCAGCCACAGGTGGAACTGGTCGAGTGGCTTGTACTGCTTGTACTGCTGGTTGCACAACTTGCTGGATAGCTTGGGCCACTTGTGTAATTTGGGCCACAAAGTTAGCTTGTAATGCTTGGGTAACATTCTATGTTACCACCTCCATGATAGTTGCCAAGTTGAGCTTTTGTGCTCCAGCAGTCTCAGTGGTTTGAATAGGATCGACACGATGGCTATTAGGGGAATGGAGACCCCTAGAAACAAGCACCTCATTTATAGTTGTTGTCTGAACTCTTTCACGGGCAATTGTAACGCCCCTTTTTTTCGGAGCCATTTTAACTAATTTAAAGATACACTACATCAAAATCAATTGAATGTTGACTTACAGGAATAACCTATACCCTACCCAATTCTTAGAAGTCAAGGGATATGAGATGTAAAATCAATAAATGTTAAATACAAAGCACAAACTCTGATACCACTCTGTCACACCTCGGGTCTGAAAGACGGTACACTCTGACAATATAAGACATGAGGATATGACTTGAACATGTTTTGTATTTTTCAAGAAAGACTTTTGTTGCAAATAAAAAGGAAATGTAATTTTTTTTAATCTTGAAAGTTCAATATTACAACTGGATTGAAAATTTAAAACTAGTTAAATCAAAATAGAAATGATAAGATGGAACAACTACCCATACCCAACAAAGAAAAATGCAATAGCTAGAAACAAATACTAAGGAAAATACCAAAACTAGAAAATTAAAATTGAAAAGCTAACTCATGTGGAGACGGTCTACATGTGGCTGAATGGAACCTGTTATGCAAAAATTAAGAATGAGTACAACGAACTTTGTAAATAACAGTTATCTATTAAAGTATAAACGACATGCAAAATGAGATGTATAGACAACAAATAAGGACGAGTGCTTCGTGCATATATATATCATGAATAAAAAAGAGAGTGGTAAGTCAAATATGCTCAGATGTAATAAGAAAACATGCAATCAAGTTTCTTATTATTATGTTTTTCATTTATATTTATATAGTAGATTTTAATAGACACCCTAAAACCGAGAGGTCAAATACCAACTCAAGGAAATCCGATGATTTTCTATTGAGCCGTCACTTTAGTGGTTCGTCGGCCCGACTAGTCAAAATTCCAAAGGGTTCTACCGACCTACATACCATTACACATAAGCATGTTATTCTGTTTCCACAGATACAACATGTTAAAATTATAACATTTAATGCAAACTCGTGATATGATATATACAAATTCATATAAGTACATAAAAAGAAAACATCATATGCACGATTAATATAAATATGTAAGAACTTTGGAGCAATAATTTAAGATGACTAGTGGTATCATCATGAATGATAATTAACACTTATGACAAGTACAAATTGAAATAACAAGGACATGACTGACAATTTATGCATTTACTACAGTTAATTAGGAATAACACCCATAAGTAGGAATGATACGTTTATCCTCCAATTAATAGCAGTTACTTATCTCGAGGCGGCAAAACGTGATACTCCTATGAATTCGACGATTCAACTTGCAATCTTACATCAATTTAAAGTAGAATTATTAAATGATTAAGAAATTTATTTATTTATTCAATTAGGTGGAATCAACCTTTATTTTTATGATTATTACTTTTGTTATTAAATTAGTATTATTATCAATATAATTTTTAAAAGGGAGAATAATGAACTTAATTATTATTAATTAAAATGCATTTGAAGTCCTACAATTTTCAAATCTCGTTTCTCCTCTGTTTTGTCTTAAGTTCCAAGTTAAGAAATTCTATAGATTCATGGGATTTAGAGAAGCTATGGCGTGAGAGGGAGGAAGGCGAGGTTAACTTCTTCAATAGTTTTGAGTAGGAGCGAAGCCGAAGGAAGAGGATGGGAGTTTCGGGTCTTTGTATAAAGTGATCCCATTGTTGCCTTCAAAGCTAGTTCTACTTGCAACTGTATCGCAGAGGGATTCAGTCACAAAGGCAATGGTTTCGGGCGAAACCGAGCTTGGATGTATGCGAGGGTTTCAAGGAAGAGGACAGGAAGGAGGGAGATGGTCTGAGCGAAATCGAGAGAGAGAGAGAGAGAGAGAGAGAGCAGGATGAAGAGATTGGTCGGAGCTTTACCTCTGCTCTTATAGAGCGCTGATGCTCGTCAAAACGGGAGGGCGGCAAGGAGAAAAGAAAAAGGAAAGTCACGATTCGGGAAATTAGCAACCATAAAGAAAAAATCACGAGCAGAGTAAAAAAGGGAAAGAAAGAAAAATCACTTAGAGGCAAAAGGTAAGAAAAATTTTTGGTTCTTATAGTTATTGTCACATGTAAAAATGGAACAGGAATTTCTAATTGCCATTAAGAGAAGATGAACTCTCAGAGATCGAATTGAACATTTAAGTTTTTTCATATAAACTAGGTATTTTAATTTTTTTCCCCCTAAAACCTTTTAGTTCTCCATTATGATGAAATTGTATGTCAATTCGATGGACTCCTATTTCAGTCATTATTTTATGCTGCTGTAAAATCTGGATGAGTTTCTTTGTTTGCTGCTATTTTAGTTGGCAGCAGGTGAGTCTTCTTGTATATAGTATGTTTGTGTTAATCTGGGGCTATCAATTCCATTCATGAAGTGAAGGTATCTAGAGAAAAAGAAACTTTATTGATTTTATAATGATTAATACCTATACCTTCAGGGCTGCTAACATCATCTCGTCAACTTTTTTCTTGATAAAGTGGATTATGGTTTCTAATAGTTTATGTCTAGCTGCATCAGTATCATTATTTATTTTTTGTTGTTCATTTCTAAACATTATAATAATCACACATTTTAACTATGCCAAGCTTGCATGGACTTTTTAATTCTGTTAAAAAAATGAGAATCAATTATTGATTGCCACCAGCTTATCAGTTCTCAATGCCATAAAATTGCTTGTAGGAAAACTGGTTACAATGTTTTTTATAAGCTCTTGTAGCTGTGTTATTTTATCTTCCAAATAATATGCAAAAGAACATGGGTTAGCATTTTTACCATTGATACCTTGGTGTAGTATCAATGATGGTCAATTAAAGTTGGAAGAAGGCACTCTTTCCAAAGCAATGCTTGAAAACAATAAATGCTATTTGCTGGATTCTGGTGCTGAGATTCACGTTTGGGTTGGCCGGGTAACACAACTGGAGGAGAGAAAAGCTGCTTACAAAGCTGCTGAGGTAATGCATTAGGTATTTTCTTTGATGACTAGACTTTTGCAAGAATTCTACTACATATCATCCATTTTCTATTTTTTTTTTGCAGGAACTTATTAATAGTGAGAATCGATCCAAGGCAACCCGAATAATTCAAATTATTCAGGGTTATGAGACACATTCATTCAAATCGAACTTTGACTCCTGGCCTATGGGTGGTACAGGAATCAGCGGTGGTGAGGAAGGAAGAGGAAAAGTTGCAGGTACTTTATATAGTTTAGACACATGCTTAATTGAGCTATCTGTTTTTTGATTCTTGTGTTTTTCTGGTAGCTCTGTTAAAACAACAGGGTGTTGATGTAAAAGGGAGCGCAAAAAATGCTCCTGTGAGTGAGGAGGTTCCACCTTTGCTTGAAGCCGGTGGGAAAGTTGAGGTAAAATAACCTCGCAACTTGATTGAGGTAGTTCTTGCTAGAAGTTTTATGAATACTTCTGTAACAGGTTTGGCGAATCAATGGCAGTGCCAAGACAAGAGTTCCAAAAGAAGAGATTGGCAAATTCTACGGTGGAGATTGCTATATTGTGTTGTTCACATATCATTCTGGTGACAAGAAAGAAGAATATTTCCTAGCCTGTTGGATTGGAAAGGAAAGCATTCAGGTGACTTTATGTTTTGCTAATTTAATAAATCAGATAAGGATAAGAATGTAGAAAATAAATGCCTTGAAGTCATTCTCCGATGTTGCTTTTGCCACCGGATGTGTTTTAATGTCATAGCTATCTACCCGTTGTTTTCTCCATGAAAATATATGTTAATCTTGGAATTTAGAAATATGACACTAAGCTTTTAACTGTATCATGAGATCTTAAAATGCATCACGATGATAATTCAACTTTTTAGTAGATATTATCTAAATTCCTTAAATTTCTTTTTTAATTTCAAAAGAGAAACCTAAAGAAATACGGAGTGAAAATAATATCATTTTTTCTATTTTCTGTTCAGCAGTTCTTCTGTCATACAAGCTTCGCACTCCCAAGTTTTGAATTTTCTGTGTAAACATTGAATTTTTTTTTGAAATTCCCGAGGTAGATTCTCTTTTTTAACCTGTTTATTTTAATTTTCTAATTATGCCTTAATACTGAATTCCCAGTCGTCATCGTCTATACAACCAGCTTATTGTATGAGATTGGAAAGATGTGTAGGAAAGGTTCGGCTCTAGAGGGTTGTCTGTTTCACTTATAGAGAGATTCTCAATGCATCCTTCTTTCCATCTGCTTGTTTGATATGAATAATTATCCAATGGATCTTTTTCTCTTTTTTGAAGGTTTTAGATAAGTTGACCAGATTTGAAAGAATTAGACTAGTATATATACAAATGTATATAGATACGCATATACATATAAAAATAGATAAAGATGTACATATTAACATACACAAATACACATATATTTGTGTGTGTGTCACACACACACACACACATAGATATAT